CAACCTTCTCTTTCGTGGACCTTATTCCTCCCTTGTCTTGTAAAGTAGCATATTCAAACGTTCTGGAAAGCAGGACCAGGACAGAGTTTTCCAAATGCCCTTAACACACGTCTGGGGGAAAAAAAAATCATGGGGAGTAATGATTGTACAAGCATGAAAATCCTGTGTCCTTCCCAACTGATAGTAACTTTTCAATTTAGCCTTGTGTTTCCCCCGAGACATAATTTATAGCTGTCGAGCACTCAGGTCACATTTGGTAATTCAAGCGACTTTTTCTGTAGACCATTTAGTGCCAAATTCACTCTTAATGTCATAATTGAGTCCTAAAATCTTCAAAAAATTGTTGCATAAACATTATAGGAACATTAGTAACAACCAATTTATAGCTTTTTGAATGTAGGTAAAACCTTTTTCTTTTATGTTAGAATATGTACCTTTTAGTTTAGTTTAGATATCCTGTATTCCTGAAATGCAGAAAGTGAACACCCCTGTCATCTCATCCCTCAAATAGAACCGTGCCGGACGGTTTGGACATAGACTTCCAGCAAGGTAAAGCGCTGATTGGTTGTCTTGTTGGAGGTACCTTCCTGCAAAGCAGGACATCCTCAAGTCTTGTACTCAGTCAACTTAGTGTTGATTCTGTTCCCGTTGCCATCTAGTGTTAAGAATGAAAAATGTGAATTTCAAAGATGTTTTGACACTAAATAACTTTGTGACTTTATAGTTCTAGCGGACCCTAGACCCTAAACTAAAGTGATCGAAAGTGAGTTTGCACTGTTCTTCAGGTTGCCGGGGACTAATGCAAATGGTGTAGGACTGTGCCGGCAGCCTGGGACCAGGGTGGGAGTGGGGGGCGGGGTCGGCTGGGCCTGCTGTTAAAGCTTTGGTTAGACTCCTATCAGTGACAGCTTCTTGGGTCAGAAAAGACTGTCTAGCCTGCAGGTTTCTATTTTTGCTATGATTGACTTCTTTGAAGATTAGAGTTATTTCAAAAAATAGCTGTTTTCTTACAGTCTTTTTGTTGGTGATCTCAAATCCAAGTGATACATCTATATCTGTAGTTATTTATATTTTGTCAGCTGGACACATGTTAGTGTCTTTTTAATGTTGATACAAGTTACTAATTATTTTCTCTATAATGGAGTTCCCAATTCCCTCTGTTTTAAAGGTATAAGAAAAATGTTGAATTTATTGAAAGAGGACCCATTTATGCTTAAATCACTGAAATAGTGTTTTTTGAATTCTTTTTCCTTCCGTGTTTAATTAGCAGTCTTACCTGCTTTTAGCATAAAAAGTTTTTTTTTTTTTTTTTAGAGATTTTATTTATTCATTCGAGACACAGAGATAGAGCATGAGCAGGGGGAGAAGCAGAGGGAGGGGGAGAAGCAGAGGGAGAGGGAGAAGCAGAGGGAGAGGGAGAAGCAGGCTCCCCGCTGAGCCAGGAGCCCGATGTGGGGCTCGATCCCAGGACCCTAGGATCACGACCTGAGCCGAAGGCAGATGCTTAACCATCTGAGCCACCCAGGCGCCCAATATAAAAAGTTTTAAATTACATGATTAATACATATAAATATATGCTGTTAAAAATGTCAGAATTCAGGAAGTAGCAAAGGTCTGGCCAGTCATCTGACTGCATCTGACAGAAAATCCAGTTACTGCTGGCAGAAATAAGAAGAAAACAGGTTCATATAATCAGAAACCTGGGACTCGGGGCGCCTGGGTGGCTCAGATGGTTAAGCGTCTGCCTTTGGGTCGGGTCATGATCTCAGGGTCCTGGAATCGAGTCCCGCATCGGGCTCCCTGCTCAGCGGGGAGCCTGCTTCTCCCTCTGCTTCTCTCTCTGTCTCTCATGAATAAATAAATAAAATCTTAAAAAAAAAAAAAAAAAAAAGAAACCTGGGACTCTGCCTGCCTTTGTTGTGGGGGATGTCTGAGCTGGGCTTTTCTCAGCCCGGAGCGGGTGCCTGGCAGGTCCGGGCAGCACCCTGAGTGCCTGCGTCCCTCTCTTCCCAGCAGGGTGACTGTCCCCATGTTTCCCTTCACATTTGAGTGGCTTCTGTTCCTGTCCCCCTCCGCCCTGTGCTCGGATACTGGCTAGGGGCGGAGGGTGACTGTGGTGGTCTGCACACCCCTGGAGCCGCCCCCAGCCCTCCTATCTCCATGTGTCCCCTATAATGATGAGAACAGGGGCATATTAGACACACGCAAGGAGAGAGAGGTTTATGTTGATGGGGTTATGCTTTGAATTACCCTTATTAATTATTTTGAGGAGTCTCTCCTTTCTCACAAACACAAAAAGGGATCTTAGTTGTTAGAATAAATAGCTTGACTTCAATCTTTTAATAGGCCTCTTGAGGTGGAAAAATAAACAGCAATTTTCTAAACAGGGTTTTCTGAGGCTGGGCGCATCAGTCTTAAAAGCCTCATTTTTGCTTTTAGTAGCTACTTTCTAACAGACGTCAGCCAGGAAGTTGCTCTGTCTTCTAGTTCAGACCTCAAAGCTCTAAGGACTTGTCTGCGTTGTGATTAGGCTGTTGGGGATTCTCCGAAGTATGCATGGTTGTTAATTCAGTCACCTGTCACAGAAGCTGAGATGTAATTCCTTCGGAGGTTTGTGCCTACACTCCCCTTTCTCCTTCCGTGCTCCGGCTCTCTGGAGCCCACATTCAGGGGCATCGCAGGGTTGCATGATACTCGATATAAAGATTGATGGCTATTAGGGTAATAATGGGTGTGCATTCTGGAAAATCAGGGTAGCTTTTCTTCGTTCTCAGTGTAGAGCTTCAGTGGGGTAGAAAGATTTGACCTTCAAATGTAGATCAGGGGGCACAGTGTTAGTCCCCTGGGATGCTGTGACCGAGCAGCCGAGGGGCACAGCCTGTGAGGCTGAAGCAAGCGAACGAGAAGCTTGAGTTCTGAAGGCTGGAAATCCAAGATCAAGGTGTCCATAGGGTTGGCTGCTGAGGCTTTTCCTCCTTGTCATGTAGACGGCTGTCTTCTCTCTCTGTCCTCACGTGAGCTTTTCACACCCCTAGTGTTTCTCTGTGTGTCCACATTTTCTGTTCTTAAAAGGGCATCAGTCAGATTGGATCAGGGCCGGAAGACCCTAAGGACCTCATTTAACTGAATCACCTCTTTAAAGACCTGATTTCCAAGTACAGTCGCATTCAGAGGTACTGGGGGTTAGGATTTCAACATGAATTTTGTGGGGGACACAGTTCTGTTTGTAAGACACTGAGGTCAAACAGTCACATTTAAGTCCACAGTTACTGTGCTAGTTGACCTGTAATCTTTTAAAATTAAATTTAGGACACAAATTAAAGATTTATTCCATGAGAGAGTATAAGAAAAATTACTTTATGGTCTCCATTTAGATGAGTTTCATTGTGAGGCTGTCTATACCCATGTGTACTCATGTGAGACTTCGTTCCGAGGACGAGTGAACACAAGTGAAGCAGGAGAGGGCTTCCGCATGCTCCCCCGGATGGCTACTCAGCGGAAGTAGCAATCATGTCATTTTGTACATGAAACCTTGGACCCTTTTAAGGAGGCAATAGGATTGGCAATCCAAGATAAGAAATCTGAGGCTAACTGATTATTTTCTTACTTTAATGATTTCTAAGAGGACTACCAAATAAATGAATACAATGAAAAATGATTAAGTGAAAACATAAGAATTGTTTTTGTTTTAACAAAATATGTAGTGAGAGTAACCCAGACTACTTTGTATCAGGCCCAGAGTTCAAGGTTATTTATTTGTGTTGACTCATTTGACCTTCGCCACAGCCCAAGGTGTTCTTATTTCTCACTTCACAGTCGGCCCTCTGAGGCCCAGGCGGGGTGGTGGTGTCCCCAGGCGCGCTGAGCTAGGAGATGGTGTGGTGCGGAGGAGGCCCGGCCAAGGGTCTCGCCTGTTACGTCACCCCGCCCCCGCCTCTGACGTTCCCTTCCGCTGCTCAAAAACATCACCACTCTCTGCAGTGACTTGATAACGTTATATGGGTTTGGGGAGGTCTTTTTTTTTTTTTTTATGTTCATGATAGCAAAATAAGCAAATGTGTTAATGGCCCACATCAATTCCCAATGATTTCTTTAAGATCAATACAAAAGCAATTTGGATAATGGTTTTGCTTAAAGTTTGAGGATCCTCCAGTGTAAGAGTTTGAGTCATCTATATTAAAAGGTTCTTTTTTAGCTTAGGTATAATGTGGTTATCCTATCATTTTATGAGAGCTAATGGACTTTCCAGTTCTGTTAAAGCTAAGATAAAAGAGCTGAGTTAAAAACTGAGCCTGCAGCTTGAAGTCAGACACACCTGGATTCATAACTAGAATCCGCCATGAGCTAGTTTTGTGCTCCCAACGCATTGGCCTCTCAAACCTCGCCTTCCTGATCTGTGAAATGGGGTGGTGCTTGCCTGCCTTAGCAGTTACCGTGAGGGCTAAATCAGAGAAGGCACACCAGGTGTCTTGTGTGTCGTGTGCGCACACAGAGTGTCTTGTGTATATTTTGGCTCCTACTAGCATCTGGATGCATATGGAGTTTATTTTGGTGAAGAAGCTCACGTTCACTTCTCGGGGTTTCTTTTTCTGCATGACGTTTGTGGCTGTTCGCATGAAGCAGAAGAAAGCCATGGCTGTAGGTCACACACTCAGAAGGCAGCTGGTGGACCTGAGCCAGCTCCCTCTCTCCTTAGCTTTGTGGCCTTGGGCCTTGATGTAACAGGCGTTTCCTAGCCTCATTCCCTGATCCTCAGTCTCCTTGGGGAAAATCGTTAGGACCACATGGAGGTGTTGTAAGGGTGAAGTTAGACTATGGATGTCAAGTGCTGGGTTTTCTTGAGATCAGTTATTTAAAGGTATAAAACAATCTTGTTTTGTGATGTCATTTTACTAAATATAAAATTGTCTAAAATTACCAATTCAATAAATTTTAGAGCCCATTTTGCCTGTATTCACCTAAAAATGTCGTAACTGGATTTCTCTTTGTTCCTGTTGTAGGTGCTGGAGATCAGAATTTATTTACCTCTATTTATCCAACGCTTTCCCAGCAGCTTCCAAGAGAACCGATGGAATGGAGAAGGTGTGGCATATCTGTTTTTGACTTTATCTCTCTCTTCGTTTTGTAGACATTTCTGTGAGCAAGTGAGGTAGTAAAAGTTAAAGCCCAAGTTGTAAAGTGTCTTGTAAAAAAACTGAACATATCACATAATCTGTGGGCCTCACTTTTTAAGGAATATGTTGATTTTTCTTACCGAAACAGAGGGTGGTAGAAACAAGACAGTTATTTTGAGTTAAAGGCCCTCTTTTATAGGAATGACTTCTGATTCCTCATGGTACATCAGAGTATCTTTTCTTAAAAAAATTGCTTATTTAAATTCAGCTTAACATATAATGTATTATTAGTTTCAGAGGTAGAGTTCAGTGATACGTCAGTTGCATATAACACCCAGGGCTCATCACATCACGTGCCCTCCTTAGTGCTCGTCACCCGGTTACCCCATCTCTCACCCCTTACCCCTCCAGCAACCCTCAGTTTGTTCCTTAGAGTTAAGAGTCTGCGTCAGAGTGTCTTAAAGGCACAGGCATTTTGGAAAGGAGACATGCACTCAGACTCCACGTTAGAGCAGAACACATGGCCTTTACCTACCGTCTCAGTAAGACCTCTGTTCACCCTGAGCTCCTGTGCTCCTTTCTTAAGGATGAGGAAGTATGTGGAAAGATGTTATTTAAAAATTAGGGGGGAAACCAGACCAGCCATCCCATTTGTCCTTTTGTATGTGATTGTTCATCTCATGACTTGTTCGGAGAAGTAGTCCGCATTTGAATTATCTTATTGGAAAACTTATTTCTGCTAAGATTAGCTATTATTTCTAGAAAATGTTTGGAGTTTGACTTGTTAGTACAGGGATTCCGATTTTAATCAAGGTATATACAAATTTCCGGTTGTCATTCATGCTCTTGTAGTTCCAGTTCTTGCTGCATTATTTCCCTCCGACCACCAGTGTGTACTCTGCCACATGAAGAATTGATGTGGCTTTCTGGGGGTGACTCACCAGAGATGGGGTCCAGTCTCATTTTTGTGTCTAATACCATGTTAGAAGGAGTGCATTTTTTCAATTTAGTAATTAAATGCAATATAAAGAGCAGATAGAAAGTGGGAGAATTGTTCAACATCTGAGGAGGCCCCGTGCTGTCGCAAGAGAAAATAACTCAGTGGAGGACTTAATGTCTGGAGAGATGGGGGAGTCTGCAGAGGATTTCTAATACACGTTATTTAAACATACAGAAAGACAAAAGCAAAGATGTGTGTCCATGAAACAAGACAAGGGGTCATGAGGAAACAAGGAGAGACTGTACATTTCGTGTGCGTTCATCTCTTCGCCTTCCTGAACCTGCCTGAGCTGGAGGAAGGGCCAAAGGGGCGTGAGGGTGCAGGGACAGAGAGGGGTGTGGGTGACGCAGTAGAGACTGGCCACCTTCCCCGGAGAAGGACGAGAGGCCTCGGGAGAGGAGGCTGAGCCTGTGTATCCTGTATCCGCAGAGGCGGCTCCTGGAGACGCAGGTGACGGGGCCCAGGACCGCTGCAGGCGAGGCCAGAGCGCGCCGGGAGGGGGCAGGCGGCGTGGGGCCACCTCCGCGGGAGCCTGCGGCTCCGATGAGCTCCAGCCCCGTGGATTCGAGGCACCGCAGGCAGCGGGGAGGAGGGCCAGTGTGCATCTGACCAGGTGCGGCCAGGTGGCGGAGCTCCCCGGGCAGGAGGGTAGGGAATTCATCGCGAGACAGACCGGAGGGCCCCAGGAAGAGACCTGCTGCATCCCCACGGTGCCTTCCTGATTGGAGCGGGAGGCCTTCTGAGGGACGCCCCCCCCCCCCAGGATGAAGGGCCTGCCGTGCTGGGGCGCTAAGTCTTGACTGAGCAGCTGGTGCTGGGGGTTTGCAGTTCTGTCCGGGAGCTGGGGAGGGAGCTGGGGCAGAGCCGGAAATGGTGACTCTGTGAGCTGAGAGAACGAAGACGCAGGAAGACGAAAGCACATCATAAAGCTGCGTAACCAGAGTGTGCTGCTTGGCTCCCGAGCGGCTGGTGCTGCTGCATTCAGTAAGAGGGGGCCACGGCGTCGGGACGACAGTCGGTGGGGAGAGGGCAGCTGGGAGGGCGGGGGGGCAGAGCTGAGCCTGCCTCCTCCATCACGGACATTTGGACTTCGTGTCTAAGAGGAAAGCGTTTGGGGAGATACAGCGGACTGAATGGCGGCCCTTAGAAGATCCGTCCGTCTGTGAACTGCGAGTGTGAGTTTATTTGCAACGAGGTTCTTGGCAGTGTATTTGAGTGAAGGATCACATGAGATCATCCTGGAGTGGTGTGGGCCCTAAATCCAGTGACGGGCATCTCGGCAAGAACATGCTCGCAGAGGAGCAAGCAGTCCGCGTGGACATGGCCACAGAGATCGCAGTGAGGGGCTACAGGCCGGGACCGCCCCGGTTTGCCGGGAGGCAGGAGAGACGAGGAGGTTCTCCCACAGAGTGTCCAGAGGGAGCCAATGCTGCCAACTCCTTCATTTCAAATTTCTGGCCTCCTGAGCTGGGAGAGAATTAATGTTGTTTTAAGCCTCTGGGTTTGTGGTAACTTGTCAGAGTAGCTCTAGGAAAACTAGTACAGGAGGGGAGGGATGGAGGCCGGGGTAGGCAGCTGCGTGTGTGTCTGTGTGTGAGAGAGACAGAGAGAGAGAGAGAGAGAGAGAGAAAGGCCTTTTGATACTATTTGACATGTTAAAGCAGGTACATGTGACTGTGATCAGAATGTACAATTGAGTAGATCTTGGGACTAAGCTTGAAGCCGAGGTTTTCCTAGATGCGCTGAACTGCCGTATGGAGGAGAGCACGTCGGGGAGTGGGAAAACGGAGCTGCAAAGCCCTGCCACACAGCATGAGGGATGGGGGCCCGGAGCTGCAGAGGGGGACACAGGGACACGCCGAGATGTGGGGGACAACAGGAAGTTCCAGAGCAGAGGACAGAGAACAGGCGACAGGCAGTATCTGAAGAATGAAGGTCAGGATTTTCCCAGAGGTGAATCACGGGCTTGCTGGAGCCCACAAAAAGTCCCGTGCAATGAAAGCAAAACACAGCAAACCAAAAACCATGCCAGGAAAACAGACAGAAAAGGAAACCAGGTCTGCAGTCTCTACAACATTGAAAATGCAGCGTAAGAGCCAGCACTTCTCAAAGTACTGATGGAAAACGCCTTTCAACCTAGAAGTTTGTGCTACTCAAACTCACAGGCGGAAGGGAAGACCGAGTCAGCCCCCCTCTCCCCGCCCGTGGGCCGGTGGGCCTTGCTGAGGCAGGACTGACAGGGTTTGTCCCTCGAAGGCCTGGGAGCCATCTGGGGCCAGGATGTGTCACTTTTGGCTGCCCAGAGCTTCATGTATGTGCTCCGGAGGGCCGCTCTCATGTTGTGTTCATTGCTTGCCACGCCGTGCAGAGAGTTGAGAAATAAAGTATGGTCACAAACCTTACCACCCTGAAATAACGAAAGGACACATCTCAACAGGAAGGAAAATGAACCCAGAATTCAGATGAAAGAAGCAGTCACCAGCAAAGAAGTCATAAAAGTATTTTGCTAAACTTAAGATTATCAGTCCTTTTAAAAATTAAGAAAAAATCTGAAATTTTAGATGTGGGGAAGAAAGCAGAGAGAAGAAAGTGTGCTTGTCTCGTTCAAGGAGAGGGTAGACATTTAGTCTTTAAAAGAAACACTTAAGTTTATGCATATTAAAAATAAAAATGTAACCAACAGCAGAATAGAAATAGATGGTTAAACTTTCAAACCAGCAGAGAAAAAGGATGGAAAAAGAAAACTTGATTAATCTCACAAAGGATAGGGAAAAATAGAGAGCCTAAAAATAGAAAGTACACAAGTTCAAGCATCAGCATAATCATGTTAAATATGGTTAGTTTCAGTGTGTTAGACACAGACCCCTTAGATCGGACAAAAAATACAAGAATCCGGCTTAGAAATGTGTCAGAGAGACAGCTACTAGAAGTGGAAAATACAAGTGTGGAGGAAAGATGTATGGAGCCTAATGTATTTTTTAGAAGTACAGTGAAATGGCAGCCACGCCCTGATAGCCATAGATGGGGGTCTGCAGCCTGTGGGCTATCTCTGTTCCTCCCTGGGGGGAGGGGGGAGCGGTCGTGCAGGGGGTGGGGTGGGCCCCTCTCTGGTTTGGGTCTTGCAGGGGATCATAAAAGTATTTGTTTAGTTTAAAGCTTTTATGCCTTCAAACTGCGCTTTTGACATTTGGGGATCTTTTTTTTTTAAAGTGACTTAGAGATTCAGTGAAACTCCAAGTAATACCCATTTTTCTCAGAAGTCTGTGTTGTTGCAAAGAGCCCTGGTTAAGTAGGATATTGGTGTGCATGTGTCAGAGTAAGGTGAAAGTCTTGATGGAGAGGGAGCTGTGACACGAACACGTGAACCGTGCTGAGATAGTGTGTAGAATCCTTTTGGACAGAGTATTATCATTATCATTCAGGATTAACACCATATATGTACTTTTGAATTCATGGATATGATTAAATTATTGTTGGATTTTTTTTTCCCCTTTTCTTTCTGCTGAACCTTCTGTAGTCATTTTTCTTAGTGACGTTTTAAAAATTGTTTGTAGGTCCTATGGCCGGGCTCCAAAGATGATTCACCTAGAATCTAACTTTGTTCAATTCAAGGAGGAGCTGCTGCCCAAAGAAGGAAACAAAGCCCTGCTTACCTTCCCCTTCCTTCATATTTATTGGACGGAATGCTGTGTAAGTATTCGTGGAGGAAGAAGAAATGACCAGAAAATGCCTTGGAATGGGATCGAGAATTCACCGGTCTAGCTTTTGTTCAGACAACTCTCATTTTTCAAATTGACTTTTTAATGGGCTCTACTTGGTGTCCTCTTTCCTCCTTCCCACTGTCGGATGCCCAGTGGCTCTGTTGCTCCACGCTTCTGCTCCGGTTCCGTGTGCTGCCCTCTGGGTAACCACCAGGTACAATCTTACTTGCCACGTTTTGAGTTCTTGTGAGCTCCCTGCGCCTTCGGGGCCTCTAGGTCTTGTTAATATTTACTCCGAGCTTTGTTTCTGAACCCCCGATATTCACTGTCATGATAGCTACTCGACTTCATTCTTGTGGGTCTCTCCTGCTGCTTTGTGGGCTTTCTGAGGGCAGGGGACCGCCCTGCTTCCTCACCGTCACGGTACCTCCAGAGCAGGCGCTCCAAGGCCACCCATCCAGGGACCTTACTTGTACTTTGCAACTGCGTATTTATGAACCCAGAAAGAAGCTTGTCACTCTTGACAGAATTCTTCTGTCGTGAGCTAAGAGACAACACCGTGGGTCATTTCTTCCTGTTTGTTTTAGCGATATCCAGCATACACGAATCATATCGTGTTGTGTATTTTCACCTGAATCTGAGGATGCAGAAGTAGTGTGGTGTGATTTAAAGAAGGGACTGGAAGCTTTACTCCTGAACCCTTTTGCCTTTGTGGATTTTGCTTTGTAGCCTTTCTCAGTGGAGTCCGCCATGCAGGGCGGGCTTATACTCCCAGCACTGAGTGTGATGACACATGGGGCACGTCTGCCAGGGAGCTCATCAAAGGTGAGCACCCAGGGCTTTTGTTGGGGTTCAGGCACGTGGGCACCACCTGCCTGGCTCGTACCAAAACTCTAGAGGGGTTTTCCAGAGGGAAAGCAGGTGTTCAGCACAAGCCATAGTATTTGTACAAAGAGCTTGTGCCCAGTGAGGCCCTTTGTCACGTGGTGGTGGGAACCATCCCATGATCCATGTTCCCAGGCCTCAGCCAAGCGCCCCCCGCTCCGCCGCCATGAGCAGGCCTAAGCATGGCTGTCCTAGGCCTGAAGTGCCTCTTCTCTCTCTGGCCCCTCGGCGGTGATGTTAGATTGGATGTTGTGGTCAGGGTTTCTCCATGCTGTAGGTACTGTTTTCCCCTTGCAACTAATAAGCCATCTCTGGGGGGCCCACTGTAAGACCACAGGATTATCCTGCTCCTTGTCCAGCTTTCCCCTTAGACTGAGCACCCAGCGATGACTCTTCCTGAACCAGTCTTTACGGAGGGCTGCCCTCCTGAACCAGCCCTCCTCCAAGCTGATCAGTGGTGCTCTGCTCTGGGAAAGAGCCCATGTGGGTTTCTGTCCCATGTGATGCTTTGCCATCCTTTGTCCTCACTGTGATGCTCAGGTCGTCTCAGATTTGGCCGGTGAGAGTCACTTCACACCGGCCCCTGGGTCCTTTTCAGGGACTTCTGTAACTTTCAGGGACAACAAGGTATCCTGGGCTCTCGTACCAGTGCTGCCCTTGTCCTGGAGTCGGCCGCTTCTTCTCAGAGCCCCGCTGCTCCTGGTGCTGCAGGCGTGTCCGGGCCGCCGGCCCTTCGGGAGACAAGCTAGGAAGGTGTGCGTCTCGGAGACCAGGGCTCGATGCTGTGCCTCCGGTTGGAGCCTCAGCCCCCGGGGCTCTCTGCTGCGCTGTCCCGGTCCGTGCTGGCGTCTGCCCTGGCTCCAGACAGCATCACCGCAGGTGCCGCCTCGCTCAGTCCTCCGACCCGCGCAGCCGTGTTCGCCGCATTGTGGCTCCCGTCCTGCAGCCGGGGACGGTCCGTGTTCCTGTCTGGTAGGCCAGGCCGCCCTCGGGCCCGTCCTTGTCACAGCATTCCCCTTGCTCTTGCACGGGTACTTCTCCATGTGAACGTCAGTAGTGAGCTGCTGAGTTCCAGGTGGAACTTCCTGGGTTTTTTATCGGGACCACGTTGAGCTATAACTTACTGTGCGCAGAGACAACGTCTTGATGGTATGGAGACCTTCTGACCCTGAACCAGGGAGGTCTTTCTGTCTGTGCACGTCTGTGTCCTTTAGAAGTATTTTAGGGATGCTTTTCTTCATCCATGATAGAGTTCACATGTTTCTGCTTAAATGTATGTCTAAGCATTTTCCTTCTTTTGTTGCTGACGTCCATGGGGTTTTCTCTCTCATTACATCTTCTAGTTGGTTATTGTTGTGTACGTGAAGGCTGCTGATGTTTTCCATGTTAGCCTTGCAAATTCTCTTACTGTTCGAGTTTGTTTCATCGCTGGTTCTCTAGGCCCCAGGGTCCCCATCGTGTCATCTCTTCTCTTTCAGGTCTTAGGCCTCCAGTTGTTTCCTCTGTTGGACCCCATTGTTAAATAGTGGTGGGGACGGTGGGCAGTGTTGCCTTGTTCTGACCTCCATGGGGGCGCCTGCGATGTGTGCCCAGTGAGGAGGGTGCTGGCTGTGGGACGGAGCGAAACGGGCACCAGCTTGGTCGGGTATCCATCCCTCCCTGTTTCCTCAAGGATCTTTATTAGGAACACATTCTTGTATTTTGTTAATAAAGGCTTTTTCATACTCAGTGGAGATAATCATAGGGTTTTATTCCACTTAAATTTACTGATACGTTGGGTTATATTAACGGGTTTCTTATTATTGAGCCATACTTGCATTCCTGGTATAAATACTACTTGGTCAAAGTATCAGTTTTTTAATGTGGTATTGGTGTCTGTTCACCCAAATTAGGAATTTTTTTTTTTTGCATCTACGGTCACAAGTGATTGGTCTGTAAGTTTTTTCGTATTGTTTCTGTCAGGTTTAGGTATTAATATTATACTTGCTTCATAAATATAATTTGGAGTTTTCATTTATTTCCTATTTTTGAGACAGTTCATAAATGTAGCACTAGAACAGTCTGGTGTCTAAGGATTGATAGGGTTCTCCTCTGAAACCATCTGGACTTGGTACTTTCTTACAGGACAGTTCCTTGATCACTTTCTACGTCCTTTTCATGGAAATGGGTCTCTTACAGCCGTTCGTCAATTTTGATAAACTGTATCTTTCTTAGAAATTATACATTTCAGTTAAGTTATAAAATTTAATGTCTTGAAGGTGTGCAAAGTGGTCTTTTTTTGACTTTTAAAATACTCTCTGTGGCAACAGTTATTTCCCCATTGTTATTTCGTTGTATATTTTGTACTTTTCTTCCTTGATTAAATTAGCTATTTGTAGTTGTGGATTCTTTCTCCTCAGAGAACCGGGGTTTTTATTTCTGATATACCGTTAGTGTGTTTTCTACTTTATTAATTTCTGCTTTCATTTTTATTTCCTTCCTTTTGCTTTCTTAAGGTTTACTTTGTTTTTTCTAGTTTTTTTTTTTTTTTTGAGTTGGGAATGCATTTCTTATTTTCAATTTAAATGATACAAGTCATTAAAGATAGGAATTTAAATCCCAGGATTCAGTCATTTTTCAGAAAGTCTCTGCTTTCAGTTTGTACTGCCCCTTTCACCCAACAGTTTAACATGACGTTTTTTAATTTCCAGAAAAAAATTCTTTAAAATTTTTATTTTAAAATTCCTAATTTTATTGCATTGTGATGAGGATGTTGTATATCATATTTCTGCTTTCTGAAACTTACCTTTTCTCCTTGACCTAATAAATGATCAGTTTCTTGGGATGTTCCATGTTTGAGAAAGTATTTTTTCTGCTTTTTAGATTGTAATGCTAAATGTAGATCCCTACGAGCGGTCTTACCGATTTGTTGTTTAGGTCATTTATATTTTAATGTTTTGTTCACTTGACCTGTCTGTGGCTGACCACGGTGTGTTAGAGTCTTCCATTACTGGTGTGTTTGAGTTTCTCTTGCGTCATCTGTAGTTTGTGTTTTGTGCAGATAGTTCATGTATCATTTAGTGCATAGGTATTCATGACTGTTATAGTTTTTATGGAGTGAAATATGTCATTTTAAAAAATGGTTTCTGAATAGAGTGTATCATGTTGAGGAAGGCCTTGTCTGGTCTCAAGGTAATAATTGGTTTTCTCCTATATTTTCTCTTAATAATTTTATAATTTGTGTTTTATATTTGGATCTGTATAGCTTCAAGTTATTTTTGTGTGTGGCAGGAGGTGTGGAGGATTAAAGGTCTAATTTCATAGTCTTAATTGGGTAGCACATTGGCCTAACATCATTTCATAATTGTCTGTCTCTTTTCTACTTGCTGAAAATTTCGCCTTTATTTTATTATTTTTTATTTTTATTTTTATTTTTTTTTAAAAGATTTTTCATTTATTTGAGAGAGAGAGAATGAGAGATAGAGAGCACGAGAAGGAAGAGGGTCAGAGGGAGAAGCAGACTCCCCGCCGAGCAGGGAGCCCGATGCGGAACTCGATCCCAGGACTCCAGGATCATGACCTGAGCCGAAGGCAGTCGCTTAACCAACTGAGCTACCCAGGCGCCCTCACCTTTATTTTAAACCAATGTCATGTATGCGTTATGTTCTGTTGATCATTGTCTATTCTGTGTCATGACCAGAGTTTTAATTATTGCATTTTTATAGTATGTATGGTGTCTGTTCTTTTTTTTATTTTTATTTTTTAAGATTTTATTTATTTATTTGAGAGAGAGAATGAGAGAGAGAGAAAGCACATGAGAGGGGGGGAGGGTCAGAGGGAGAAGCAGACTCCCTGCCAAGCAGGGAGCCCGATGCGGGACTCGATCCCAGGACTCCGGGATCATGACCTGAACCAAAGGCAGTTGCTTAACCATCTGAGCCACCCAGGCGCCCTGATGTCTGTTCTTTTAAAATACATCCCTCGGCTAGTATACATTTTTTTCTTCCATGGATATTTTAGAATCAGATTGTTAGGTATACAAATTTTATTTTCCAAAAACGATTGCGTCTACATATTCCATCCCCCATGCTCTTCTCTCCATGGCAGTGACCTTCCTCCACTGAG